AAACCCAAGATCATATCATAAGAGGTCAATGGAAGAACCTTCAAGTCTGAAGAAAACTGTCAACCTTGGATAGACCAACTGGCATCAGGAATGTGTGAAGCACAAGTGAGTACCTACCCATTTGCAACCTGGACTAACAAGGGAGGAGATAACTGCTGCAGAGTTGGAAAAGCCGAAGCAACAGCCGAGCTGATAAAGGTATGTGAACTTCCGGAATCAAGCAGAATTTTAACATGCTGATCATCCAGGAGCCCCCAAAAACACATAGTGCGCGGTTGAACCATACCAGTTACTGCTGCCACTGATAAAGAGAGGAACAACTGATCTGGCTCCGCTTCCTGAACTAAATCCGCAGCTTCAATAGGATTGGCTTCCCAAAAAACATCCAACAGCTCTTGGACGACATGTAGTTGGACGGCAACAGGGCATTGATGATCACGACTCCATTTGCCACCACACCTCATGCAGAGGCCTTGAGCACGCTGGGTCGCGCGGAGAGCGGACCAGCGCTCATCCAAGGTCGGCCCACGCCCAGCGTCCACAACCGGCTTCACCTCGACAGCCGGCAGGGCAAGGCGGGGAGGTGGTGGAGGTAGTGGAAGCGCCCGCGAAGAGTACGGGCGGGGCCCCGCCGGATGTTCCGCACGGCGGAAGTCCCTCTTCTTGGCTGGATCAGCCACCTCCTCCTGCAATTTAGCAAGAAGGCAAGCAGTATCCGAATTTTGGGGGCGATGCAAAGCCACTGCAGCTCGAATATAATCTTTCAAACCATCAACAAATCTCATAGCGTAATAGAGAGGGTCTGTGGTACCACCATAAGCTGATAAATCATCAACGATAGCAACAAATTGGTCTATGTACTCCCGAACAGAACTAGTTTGACGGATTTGGAATAGTTGTCTAAGCAAAAGCTCATGCTCATCCTAGCCAAAACGATCAAGGATCAAGCGAGTAAAAACAGGCCAAGTAGCGGATTGGTGCTTGGATTCAACAGAAGGGTACCAACGCTTAGCAGCATGCGTGAAATGCATTTTAGCGACCCGAACCCACATGTGAGGTTCAGTACCATATAGATCAAAGTAATCCTTGCATTGACTAAGCCAGTATTTAGGTTAGGATCCGTCAAACTTAGGAAAATCAAATTTAGGAAGTTTTGGTGACTGGAACCCATTATGCCCCACCCCGGTGGTACCACTACGCACTCCCGGATCATCAGTAGACTGGAAAACAGATCTCGGAGAGGGAGGATTAGGGAATGGTGGCATACCCTTGATCGGGGAATGAATCAGGGTAGAAACTACCCCAAATCCACTCTCCCGGTGGTGATTGTCGACGCAGTGCCCATTGGGCAGATTAGCTAGAGCGTTGCCGAATGGACGCTCACCAGCGGACGGGGCGGCGGCGAAGATCCCCGGCGTAGTAGCCGGTTGCTCCAGAATCGCCCGCTCCCAGTTGCTAGAGATCTTCGACACCTCCAACTTGGACTTCGAGATGTCGAGCTTCATGTCGTCAACGAGACCTTCAATCAACGGCCGCCACTCATCGAGCGACGCGGTGACCTTCTCCAGAGCCGCCATGCGCCCTTCCTGCACCTGCTCGAAGTCCCAGATCTGGCGAGAGAGGCGCGCTTCCTGATCCGCAAAACGCGAATCCCACTTCTGGTCATGCTCGTTGAAGCGGCGGTTGATCTCGTCGAGGATGAGTTTAGTCTCCGGATTCATGATTCCCAGTCGGTTCTGTCGTCGGGTGAAGTGGTCGTGGGTTAAGGGTTGGGAAGGATCCAGATCTACCGCAACCACAAGTTGATTCAAGCGGAGAAGGGAATTACGGCGACCAAATTCCTAGCAGTAGCTCACTGCTAGAAACTAGATCAAGCCAACCGGACCACTTGCTCAAATCAACCGAGGGATGAAAAGCGGATCGATGCGGAAACCCCAAAATCGGTGTCTCTGATACCAATTGTCAGCAATGGGCAGGAAGTAGAAGCAGTTGGGGTAAGATCAGACGAACAGCACAGAGATCAGGCGAGAAAGGGAAGGCCGGAAGGAGAAGTGCTTAGAGTTTAGAGTCTGTTTACAAGATTCATCATGATCCTCTCTCTCGCTCCTCGCGTCTCTTTTACATGGCTTCCGCCCGAATGTGCTCGTAGGCACGGTCACACCCAATCTACGCCAGCCAGACGCACGTTGGGCCGGCGAACTCGTTTCCCAGTCCGTGGCACCTGGGCCGCTTCCTCTGAAGTCTGCACCGTAGATGGGCCGCTAACATGCTATAAACAAGTTCCTCCTAATTTTCAGTTTGTCTAACGTACCAATCAAGCCCAATTAAGTTGCAGGTGGTAAACTTTGGCTTTCTCACATGTTTTGCTGTTTGATCAAAATTATTTTATTTTATTCACATAAAGTATATTCAAGCACAATCTGATTTAATTACTTAATCGTCAGCTTTAGAAGGAATTTTACTTATCTGTTGCAACTCATGATTGTTTGGGACCATGGAAAAACCAACACATGTTAAGAGTACGGAATTATCACATGATAAATTGGGTTATTTAACTTGTTCGGTGAGAGTGAATCCATGAAGACCCAAAAAAATCACCAAAGAAGGAGCATTGTACATGAGCAATCAGTATTGTTAGAGACCATCAAGGTACTATATATTATCTCAACCAGCATTCTTATCTTTACTGGTGAATTACATTACAACAGAGAATGTCAAATTCTTCAAGCTCTTGTCTTAACTGTTTCCTATGTTTGTTGACCTGCAGGCATGTGCAAAGCTTGAGAAGATGAGAGAGAAGATGGTTAAGGAGGGGCAGGAGGTGTGAGCTATCACAAAATGAGGCAGAGCTGAAGAGCAGGCTGCAAGTAGGTTACTGCTGCTGAGAGAGGCTGCTGGTGCATGTTCCATTTGGTTTAGTGGTTATTCAGTTTTTTTTTTGGTGTATGTCCAGCATCTGGTCCTTTATTCCCTAGACATCCTCACCGTGGTAACAATCTGGTTGTAAAACAAAACTAATCAATATCAATCTGGATTTATCTGTGAGATGTTTTGTAGACAATTTCAATTCCTTTGAGGTCTCATCTATTAGACGTTTTGATTCATGAAAGATGATAGGACTAGACAAGAAATGGTGGGAAATGCAGGAGCAAGGTTACCAAGTTGCTTCAGCACTTACCGTTGGACAAGTTGGTCAAAGGGAACTTGTATTCAAGGTCAGTACATCTTACTCTGCAATATATTTCTAATTAGCTACTGAACACCAAAGAATAAGGATCCATGGACAGGAATTTCTCTGGTGTAATTTTTTCTTTTATTTAGTTGTATAAATATGCTTCACCAATCACAATAATTTCTGTCATTGGGTTGTTTGCAGCCATATTAACTGGCACGAAACTGCTATGCTCATTTAACAGAGAAGAGTGTCTGTTGTTATTAATAATGTTTGGAGACATGCTAACATGGTCTAAAACGGCTATATTTGTTTCTACACTATTTAAATAGCATTATGTACAGTATTTACAAGTTACTGGTAGATGTCTCATATCTGTTAACCATAAGAAGGCCAGGCTGATGCTAATAATAATAGCATATCTAAACATCTGTTCTAATATAGCTTGTTTATGTTTCCCCCTAAGAAGGCCAGAGTGATGGATGTCTTTCTCTCTTGGCATAGTCTTCATTGTTTAGATAAGATTATCTAGATCAGTTGCTTACCTGCATTTGCTATGGCCACAACGCTTCTACGCGGTAAACACTTTGGTTTATGTCACTTTGTTTATGTTTTGAGCATTGCATGTTATCAGCTTCCAGTGGTAACGGTGAGGTTTGATGGCTTCAAGGACGAGCTGGGCTTGATCAGTTTGGAGTTTGGAGCTGGTCAACATTGTTGAAATAGAAGCTTTATTAATTGAAAAGGGATGTGATCAACTTCCAGAAAGGGATGTGGCTGTGGGCCCTGAGGTCCCATACAATGGCAGCCACAAACAGCCTCAGCACTTGAAGCACAGAAGAAAACCGGGCCACAACCTCAAGATCTGGAGCCAATATTTTCTGAATGCCTTCGTCCTTTTTTTCTTTGTAATCATTAATTACCTCAACAGAGAATTGGTTTTGAAAAGAATAATTTGATTGCGTCAATATTGTTTGATCCGAAGAATTTCTTGAAACATAAACAAGTTCAACGTAGTTGTGTGCTTTTGTGCGAATTGTTCATGCGTGATGAGTAATAGTTTTGGATATAAACATCATGTTAGATCATGCTCTAAACATTATTTTTTAATGATATAACACATGTTTAAACTTTAATTGCCATGGTGTTATTTTTTTTCGTTGCAATGTATGGAGAATTTTCATGGGAGGAATTTAACAAATGAGCAACGACACAACACACAAACTCAGGATCAACATATTGAAGCAACAAATGAACGACCATATGAGGTCTGAAGTAAGCGCACACAGAGATAAATAAAAAGGATGGAAAGAAATTGTCGGTGCAACACTCTGAATGACTACTCCAATCCATTGTCAAAAGACAAAAGGTATATCTAAGTATGTTTTGTCTATGTGATTGTATATCATGAGATTCTATCTATATATCGCCCGTAGCAACGCACTGACACTCAACTAGTACGAATGAAAGCCTTTTTATGGTTTATTTTTTCTCATCAAATTCTATAACCGGATATCTTATTTCTCAACTCTCAAAACTACTAAATAAATATTTAAACATGTTTTAAAAACTTGGGCCCGGCCCAACTGGTGCGGAGGAGTTAGTCCAACTCTCCAAGACGGGGCTGGACCGACGACTGCAGCCTCCATTTTCGGTCCAATTCCGACTTGGTCTCTCTTTCCCCGAATCCGACCTGATCAGGAGGGAGGTAGGGATCCAGCCACCCCGCCGCCGCATCCTTCAGCCAAGCCATCGACAGTTGCCAGATCTCACTTCCAATCGCTGTAAGCTCGAGGTTTCCCGGCGAGAAGGATCCGATTTGCCGCGGATGGCAGGGGGTGAAGGTTCGCCCAGGCGGCGCACCGCCAAAAGCGTGGAGGCCGCGGCGACGGGACCGATGAGGAGGTGCTCCACCAAGAGGAAGTCGGGGAAGGAGGAGGCGTCTGGTCGGATGCCTCGTCCACGCGCCTCAGGAAGGAAGGAGACAGCCGCGGCGTCGGCGTCCGCCTGTGCAGATGCAGAGAAGTCGGCAGGGGTGAAGAACCTGTTGTCGGCGAAGGATATTCGGTGGATCCTAGCCCAGAAGCCGGAGGCTCCGCCGCCAACCTACCAGGCCCTGAAGCGCAGCAACCCGGAGCTGGTGCCGCGGCCGGGGGAGGAGGAGGACAAGAAGCTGTGTGGGCTCTACGTCCTGGCCAGGGCGTTCTACGAGGTGGAGGAGAGGTTACCGAAGCTTCAGAAGTGGATGCGCAGTGAGCTGAAGGAGAAGGGGTACGTCGAGGTCGACGATGAGTGGTTCAAGCGCAAGGCTGAAGCGCAGGCGAGAATCGACAGGGATTGGCCCAGTGTCAGAGCCAAGATCGATGCCCTCTGGGGCCCCTCGGGAGATGGTGATGAGAGCGAGAGCGACTCTGACGAAGAAGACGAGGATGCTCTGGATTCAGTTACGAAGGATTATATGTAATTAACTGCACATATAATCGATATATGTATGCTTGCACTGACCACTGAGTTGGTCCTCTTTACTTGTGATTCATGATGCTCTAAGTTCAAGTGCTGTCGAAAGGACATGGTATTTAACTAAAATCTCTTATATAGTGGTAACATGATTATTGTCTTGTGTTACAGAGGCTTGGCTTAGAACTGGCTATGCTAGTGCTGGTGCCAAATGTTGCATAGTTTGCATGTGATTTTGGAGGTGCCGTGACCTTGGAAGTGGTTTTGAGAAAAAAGCAGAATGCATACTCTGGTTGGCTCTGTGACTGTTAATTCGGTCATGCCCAAACACTGAAATGCATCGGCTTGTTCACTACTGAAATGCATAGTTTGAGATACTTGGACTACCTCATGCGCCCCTGTTACTTTAAATTCTGTCATCGCATTTTTTTTATTTTTGTGCATTTGAACTGTACTATATTGGTTCAAACTCAGCTATTGCAGCTTATTTGTGCATTTTGATTAGTATATTCATCCAATGCTTGCCTGAAACTTTCCCTTGGTCCAGTCTTCTTCGGTTATGCTTCACCTGAAGCACATGCACTTGGAGGTGCCCTTGTAATGTTTATTTCTGTCCTGTAAGCCAATTCGTTTTTGATGTAGTAATCTGTAGTTGTCTTATTCTGTGTGAATGTGTACTTACTTCAGTTGTTCCTAGCTACCCTGACTTGTTGGCTGATTCATCGGCCGGTTTCTTCGTTTCTTGTTATAGTTACCCTCATTCCTTTTGTATGAATGTGTCGTTGGCATGCTGAGATATGTACACTAATTCATTAATGGCATTCTAAGATCAGTATTCATTAGTGGTGATGTTGATGTTTCAGGCGTTGATCAACAGAGATTGGCCCAGGATCAGAGCCAAGATCGATGCCCTCTGGGGCCCCTCAGAAGGTGGTAACGAGAGCGACTCTGACGAGGAAGATGGAGAGGACGAGGATGCTATGGATTCACTGAAGGATTATATGTAATTAACTGCACATATATAATCTATATATATGTATGTTTGCACTGAGTTAGGTCGTCTTTAATTGTGATTCATGATGCTTGTTCTAAGTTTAAGTGCTGTCGAAGGACATGGTCATGTAACTATTTAACTAAAAAATCTTATATAGTAGTAACATGATGATTGTCTAGTGTTACTGAGGCTTCGCTTAGAACTGGCTATGCTAGGCGCCTTGATCGATTTTGCAGGTGCCATGACCTTGGAGGTTCAACTGCAAGTGATTTTGAGGGGGGAAAAGAAGGCAAAATGCATACTTTGGTTGGCTCTGTGACTGTTAATTCGGTCATGCCCCCCAAGCAGACTTATTGAAACACTGAAACTGAAATGCATACTGAGATACCTCATGCCCCTGTTTATTCAAATTCTGTTATTGCAGCATTTTTGTGTGCATTTCAACTGTATTATTATATTGGTTCAAACTCAGCTATCGCAGCTTATTTGTGCATTTGAACTGTATGTTAGTATTTACCCAATGCTTGGCTGTCGAAGCTTTCCCTTGGTCCAGTCTCTTTCGGTTATGCTTCACCTGAAGCACATGCACTTGGAGGTGCCTATAGTGATGTTTATTTCTGTCCAGTAAGCCAGTTCGTTTGAGATGTAATGATCTGTAGTCGTCTTATTCTGTGTGAATGTGTGCTTCAGTCAGTTGTTCCTGATGACCCCTGACTTGGCTGATTCATCGTGTTATATACTTTTATTAGTTACCCTCAGTCATTTTGTGTAGAATGTGTTGGTGGCATGCTAAGATATTACAGTAATTCACTGATTTCTAAGATCAGTATTCATTAGTGGTGATGTTGATGTTATTCTAGGATTAGTATTCATTAGTTGTTATGTTGATGTTACCATGGTGCTGTCATATTTTTTTTTCTCCTTGTGCAACGTACTCAAGATATTCCTGTATGGAAATTGTGCAGGGACTATGTTGATCCTACAATATCTTCATATTTTAAAAATGATGTTCTTTTTTGGTTATGCTTCACCTGAAGCACATGCACTTGGAGGTGCCTATAGTAATGTTTCTGCACTGTAAGTCAATTTGTTAATAATTTAGGAGATGTTGATTAGAGTACAACTTAAAGCCAAGATGTTTCATTAGAATTTAACATGAAGTCTCCACTGGAAACCTTCATTTAGTAATATTAAGATGTGGATTCACCATGTAATACTTCAGGAAAAGTAACGTTGATAATAGTTCCGAAAAGCATACAATAAATAGTGCACCATCATGGAGCTATGTATTATTACAAGCGTACAACATAACAGAGCGAGAAAAGTAACGTCCTCTGTAACTATGCTCATTATGACCAGGTAATCTACTTCTGTTCTGTTGATTCGTTGTACTCATCGAGAACCACACTGAGAGCATTACTCTTCCCATGAATCATGCTTGCTAGTTCCTTGATTTGGTGTGCCTTTTCCTTGGCATCTTTAGGCGCCTGACTGCTGACAGTAAGCACTACCTGTTGGATACTTGAAAGATTTTCCAGGCCATAGACACCCTCCACCATTATGAATCTTAGCTCAATCCTCTGAAGCACCGGCATTGCCCCTTCTAGGAAGCTCAGAGGTGGCAGCACAGGTGCTGCAAAGCGTAGCAGTTTAAGCTTTTGGAATCCCTCAGGTGGCACAAAGATGTTGCCATCTGACTTGAGTGTGTTATCATGAAGGGTCTTGAGAACAATTGCATTGTTGCTGGTTGAGTCGAGTGAGAAAATGAGAGAGAACAGCTCGGGCAGCTTGGCAAGAACCACCAGAGCATCCGTCGTGAGTGAAGTTAACGACAAGGTTAGCTTCTCAAGATTGTGCAGACTGACAATCCACTCGGGCACTTGAGACAACTTGCCAGAGAGCCCAAGGGTGTGCAGGTGCTCTGGTGGGGCTTGTGAAGCATTCAGTGAGGTGTCAAGGAATCCAGTGAAATCATCATCAATTGCAAGATACTTGAGGGAGCAACTGCTCAGATGCTCAATGGCAGACAGCAATAACTCAAAATTGCTCGAGGTACAACTAACCTTATAAATGGTGAATTTCCTCAGGTTGGTAAGTTTCTGCAAGTCTCTAAGCACTTCAGTTGCTAAATCAGTACAGATCTCAACCCCAGATAGTGTCTGTAAAGCCGTCATCTTTGTGATTGCTTCAGTTAATTTCAATGCATGCCGCTTGTTCTTATTGCCAGCAAGTAGGTGCTCCATTCTCTGAAGCTTATCAACTGACTCAGGCAATTTTGTGATGCTCGTCTCCCTTATGTCAAGTACTTCCAGAGATTCCAGCCGGCCAATTTTGGTCGGGACCTCCTTTACGTCCGTCTGGCGTAAGCTCAGGTACTTCAGCTGGTGCATTTTACATATTTTCTTGAGTTGCTTGTATGACAAATCCTTGCAGCCTTCAAGATCTAGCACCTGCAGTATCTGAAACTTGTGCAAAGTAGAATGAAGCGCTCTCAAACTCCCTAGTGCCGTTAAGGATCTGACGTGGGACAGTCTCATCCTCCCTACCTTTTCACTCTCTTTCCCATCACTCCTCTGAACGGACAGACGACGCACCTTGTAGCTCGGAAATGGCGTTTGCCAGTGACCACCAAACACAGTGATGAAATTCTCGTCGCTTGACTTGGCAACAATGTACTCCAGAACCATGTCATGAATCTGACAGCTCTTCACCTTGCCGTTGCTGCTGTTGTTGACCGGACGGACCAAGTTCCTGTCAATGAGTTCACTGAAACAGTGCTCAGCAACTTCCTCGACGGTCTTCCCGTCCTTCTCGACAACGAACCCTTCGGCTATCCATCTTCTGAGGAGGCACTTTCTACTGATCAAGCAACCCTTGGGAAACATGCTCAAGTACAGCAAGCACGTTTTCAGATCAGCTGGCAAATCTTTGTAGCATTGGTCAAGTATCCGTGTCACTCCTTCCGTAGTGAGATTGTTCCCCAGAACTGCATGAACTGCACTTAGTTCTTTGTCAACCTTTTCCAACAGGCTGTCCAGGTTTGACTCTTGGTTTGCCTTCAGTTTACTAGCCATAAGACCTGCTACTACGATGATGGCTAATGGCAGACCTCTGCACGCTTTCATGATCATCGGACTATTAATGGGTCTTGTAATACAAAGATCATCAATAACAGCACCAGAGATTGTTTCAAGAAACAGGTTGTAGGAACTTTCTTCAAGGAGTGGCTTGTGCTCGTAGGAACGGCCATTTCTTCGGCGACAGGCTTCGGACACAGATTTGAACCTTGTTGTCACCACTATGGTACCGCCTTTCTCATTTTTGGGCAAAGAATCCCTAAACTTTTCCCATGCTGATACAGACCAAACGTCATCTATCAAGATGAGATACCTATTTCAAGCATTATACAAAATAAGCATTGATCCTACAAAGTAATTATTCTCAAAAGCACACTACAACAGTAACATCAAAGAACGATTATAATAGAAAAATTATATATATAATGTAAATAGGATTACAATATCGTGCTTATATTATATATATATGTGAAGAAAGGTGAAACATGAATGAGGAGCATTAAAATGGTACAATACCTCTTCTTCTTTAGTAGATTGTCCAGTTTACTTTTAAGATCCTCTTCTCCCAATTTGTCAGTTTCCTCGATCTCTTCCATTGATGCACCGGACTGCTGCTCTTGGAATGTCTTTATAAGCCTTCCCAAAACTGTTCGGAGATTGAATTTCTGGGAGGCAAGCACGGATGCTCTGCAACCGAAATCGTCTCCGAACTTGCGGTAAAGCGCCATGGCAAGAGTGGTCTTGCCTAGGCCACCAGACCCAAAAATGGCAAGGAATCTGAGCTGATTACCGGTGCTTTGCTGGCTCCCATTGGAGAACCATGGCTCTAGCTCCTTCATGGCATCCTCCAAGCCCACCGGCTCCTTGGTGCCGAAGAGCTGGGGAGGAGGCACTAGACGGTCTTGGGGATCATTGGCTCCCGTGTTTTCGACGTTTCCCGTGTTCTCCACGCCGTACCTGGTGCGCCGCTCGCTGACGTGCTGCGCCCGGGCCTTGAGGTTGCCGATCTCCGTGGCGACGCAGTGGCGCGCGTACAGCGTGGTGAGCAGATACCATTTCTTCCGGAGATACACCAGCGCTCCGCTCCCACGGGGCTCGCTGCTGAGGCGGTGGTCGACGTCGTCCACACAGTCCTCGATGTCGTAGGACACCTCCCGGACCTGCTTCATCCAGTCCAGGCGCTGCTCGTCATGGTCGCCCACCCGCTTAATCTTGTTGAGGAAGGCCTGCATGCTGGCCAGCTCGTCGGTGATGTACTGGATGTCATCACGGACGCCACGGATCAGGGTGTACTCCTGTGCGAGGAGGCTCCCGAGCTTGTTCACCAGCGATTTCACGGCGTTGTTTGAGGCGCCGACGACGAGATCCATCGTCGCGCTACTCTAGCGCAGCGCTGCCTCCTTACCAGTGGAGACAAGATGCTATTGATGTAGTTCTGTGGTTGTACTAAGCTTTTTGCTCACTAGAATGGTAATGGCGAGTGTCTGACAAAAGGACACCCTCACTGGTATGTTTTGCTTTTTCGAAGGTAGGAGTGCTTTCCTATTCGTTAAGCAGAAAGCTGATTAAGGCCCTCTACAGTGTGGAAGTCATAATGGTGAGCATCGCTTGTTAGATCCAGCATAAAAAAAAACATGGCGTACTATATTACCTAGACACTCGATTGTTGGTGTTGCTGAGGTGAGCCGTTTGAAACATAAAGCAGTAGCCACTACGCTTTTATACTACTATCAAATACTATAGTTAAAACTGAAAAAGTCACAACCGCTGCGGTTTAAAGATGAAGCGAACAGGCAGGCCAGTATTAATGGTGGCATCGCTTGTTGGACTTAGACCCAGCACAAAAAAACAAAAAAAAATGAAAACAAGACATATATACTAGACTGGTACTGGCGACCATTCATGCGCCGGACCCAACTTTTCTAGCGCAGGCATCGCGAGAGCTAAAAACGCTCTCCCCTTGAAGCACCTGTCTATGCCTACGCATTGGAGGGCCTAATGGAAACTAGAAAGCAATAGGATAGATGAGTTTAGGAATGGAAAACTGGCTCGGTTAGGTTCGTTAACAGCTTGAGTTTGCTCATTTAGCTGGCGAGTAATTGTAATGACAAAACAATTGATGCAATTACGCAATTTGGTTTTGCAGCAACATATCAGAAATAAAAAACCCCTCCGTCCTAAAATCTTACTATCTTACTATTACTATTTAGGGGCCCTAACGGAGGCACCACGTTAATTCTCACTAGACGCGCTAGGAAAAAAAAATCCTAAAAATTCTCACAATAATCAGAAACATCTAACCCTTAATTTTGTAGACTCTAATCATCATCACCGATAATAATCATTGGATCTATTATAATTTAAAAAAAATTACCCAACTCTACGATTATGAAAAAGACATTAAGTAACCCCCTAATTTTGTAAGTAAATTACCCACATCTGCCATTATGAAACGCAATTCAAAAAAACCCCTAAATTTGTATATAAATTACCCAAAATCTATCGTTATGAAAAAAAAAATCGAAACCCCCCTAAATTTGGATCTAAATTGCCCACTCTGCATCTCGGAGACATCCGATAAAATTGCCCACTTTGCCATTATAAAAAAATAATTCAAAATAAACCCCACACATTGCTTCTAAATTACCCACCTTTGCTATTATGCAAGAAAATTTAAAATAAACCTCTAACTTTGTATCTAGATTACTTACATCTGTCATTATAAAAGATAATATTTTATACATCATAATGATTTTATTGATTACCCACCTCTATAGTTATGAAAAATAATGCAAAATAGCCTCCTTAATTTGACTCATATATGTTGTTACGGAAGTTAATATAAAGTATTACCGTTATATTAGTATCTAACTCAACCATTATCAAAAATAAATAAAAATATCTCTCAAATCTACATGTAAATACTAATATATGTTATCACAAAATAAATCAACATCCATAAAGTAGGAGACATATATACTTCTAAATTATAAACCACTAAGTTCACTTTATATTTTATTAATACTACATGATAATCAATTTCATAGTTGTTATTTTAAATAATTTTATATATTTTAATTTAAATATTATGTCATATGAGTATTGGTAATTTAAGTTTAAGCACTCTATGATATATAAAAGAATACTACACACATAATCCTGTGATATAACAAGCTCAACAAGTTTAGTGTTTGGGTGAATTATGAGTTTTTCAACTTAATTAGCATGTGGAAAACAATACTACTATGACCAAAAATATTTTTAATAAAAAATCTTGAATAAAAGATGAAAAAACTATAGTTTCTACTTAACATGTGAAAGAATTGCACAACTAGATTAAAAGTCAGAAAGCTAAACTATGAAAAAAGATAAATATGAGAAATTCTCACAAACATCCAAAACATTTGACCATCAATTCGGTATAGCCTAATCACCATTGATAACAATAGCTATTGGATCTATTCTATTTTCTAAATAATTATCCGCCTCTGCTATTGTGTAAAACAACATAAAGTAATGCATGACTCTATATTTAAACTACCCACATATGTCATTAAGAAACATGATCTAAAATATACCCAAATTTGCATCTAATTACCCACAAACTCTTATTGTGGTAGATAACTTACGTAACCCAATTTTTATCTTATTATTTGAAAAATTAAATATGATCTCAAGTCTACATCTAAAAATTATCAACATCTTCTATTAAAATATTGTTTAAATAACCATATAACAAGTATATGTTTCTACATTTCCCACTTCTACCAATATTGATATATTAAGAGTTGATTAAAGTAAGCATACTTATCATGCCTGCATGCATAACTGATCAATATATATGTTTTATTTTCAAAAAAGTATTTTCCTAACAACTCATATAGTAATGATACTAACAAATTGTTTAAATCCATATTAGTAACCATGACATATATATAATTTAGAAAGGTTGTTAGTTTAGATATATTTATATATTTTAACTAAATGTTTGACATGTCTATTGATAGCATAACCATAACTACGTATATAATTCCTTGATAGGAAAATTCAATCACCTTAAGAAGTATGGGAGACTATTGGTGGCTATATTTTTCCAGCGCTTTAAGATTACTTTAGAGTAAACTGTTGATCAATATACATCTTAAGCATTAAAATTCTCTTGAGGCGTTAGCAATGCTACCCGATATGAGGTCTCACTTCAAGCTCTATCACTTATCTTAAGTGACATGGTGCAGGTTTCAAATGATTGCTTATGCGGTCGTAGTATTTAAGAGTGTACTCTACGATCTAAAATCCTTATTTTTAAAAGGTGCAAAAGGAGAGTTAATAAAAAGTACAATCAGCACCAGAATTCCAACTTGATGACAAGAAATCTAGAGAGCCAATAAATAAAATTTGAAAAATTAAAATTTAGATTCATGACTTCATAAGGTATGGCAGCATGGGCTGCCATAGTTCATGGCAAGAGTTTAAACTAATTACATATTTAAAATATACAGAGGTGCCATGCAAAGTAAAACTGCGAATTTGGAAGAAAATGTATAAATCAATCCCTTGAAAAAAGTAATTAATAAATTTGTGATAATTGGATATAGACTATGAAGTATCTATTTTGTCTATTTTGTAGAAAATAAACAAATAGAAAACATATAATTTAATATAAATATTTTTATTAGTCAAATGTATTAAACAGTATATCTCTTAAAATTTTAGCCCGTGCGAGAGCACATGTTGATGGAACTAGTAGAAGGAATCGAAGTAATTTTAGGGCATATTATATGGTAAGACAAATGACGTATATAACCCTGTCTGATTACTATATTTGGGTTGATAATAAACATTAATAGTAGGTATGCTTGTGAATATTTGCTTTTAGTGTTTACTCACATAGAATACCATATATTTTGGTATAAATTTTGAACTCTCAATTCCTTATATTTTAGGACAGAGGCAGTATATGCACTCAACAAGTATGATGGAAAGGGCAAGTAAGCTACTTGAGCTTAAACCATCCAAGAAAATATAGTACTCGTAACATTTTATAAATATATGTAAGTAGCATACCCTAAAAGTAATATAATGACAGACAACAAATATGTAAGTAAATACATATAAGCCAAATTACATAACGTAGAGGCACCAAGTCTTCGCACTAGTGTATATGTAAGTGAAATATTATCCAATATATGAGATTTCATGCTTGTCAAGCTAGCTCAAACTAGCTCGGCAAATGTACCATCTTTAAACTTTGGTTTAGTTCACATTACTATAAAAACTATCTAATGAGCCATTGTATTTTATTTCCAGAGGCAGAAATCCTGATCTACCATATATAGAAATCATCTAGAGGGCCAATGGCCATGCCCCACCTCTATAAATCAATTTTCAAAGACGGGCCTGTGAAACTGTCTTAGAATTGGGGCTATTTCAAGAGGCGGCCCTCTTGAGGTACCACCTCTAGAGATCGATGACCAGATCGAGGCAAGCCTCTTAAAGGTTCATCTCTATAAATACTTGTCACACAAATTCATAACTTTTTCATATGAAGAGAAACTTTATAACAAAATTATAGAGATCAACATGATCTACAACTTCGTAGTTGATAACTTTTTGTTTAGATTAAAGGCCCAAATATACATTTTAACTTTTTATATTTTGAATACAAAATTTTGAATTTTCGAACGACCTTAGATGTTGATATGGTGTATTCTAAGTTGTAGTTCTACACAATCTCGAACTTCTTGTTGACAACCTTTTTTGTTGCTATTGCTGTCGGGACCTCATTTTGAGAGTCCAAAGTGCATCTATACTTGCGCTAGGATCATGCACAAGTACACATAAGATAACAGAAATGGCACACGGTTATATGATACAAATACCAAGCTTCATTGATATCTAGAAATAAGGTGTTACAACAGTAGCCCGAAGGGCATAGCCATAGGCTTTACATGTCTAGCGGGGTTCTATGGCATTTTATTTCAGCGGAGTGGTAGCTACTATAGCGGTATTTTACAACGTAGCGACACACTCTATTCCACTGGCATGCTTGAGCGTGGTCGAATCCCTAGGTCCTAAGACTCCTTCCAACGATTCATAATCCTTGCGTGGTTCTTAGTCCTCGTGGTTCACCTCTTCATCGTAGTTACAGTCTTCCTCAGGGTTGTAATATGTGAGTCAACAACGGGTGAGTATATACGTACTCAACAAGCCCTGACCATAGGATATGGAGGAGTGGTTGGTGGAGGCTATTTTTGGAGGTGGAGGATGATAGTGGAGGCGGAAATGGGAGATGGTAATGTTTAGTTGAATGTAGGGTTAGGCCCTGGGAGAGTATTACCATTCTCGCCGGTTCCTAGGTTAGTATTAAAGA